GTGAGATTAGAACCGCTGAACTGCAGATAACAGTCAGCTGAAGTGGCCTGCAGTACTGCACCCTAACCACCCTAACCACTGCGCCACCTCGGCTCCTTATTCGGTAGGAAACTGTTCATCCAGTGTTCTTTTATGGAACACAACACAATATCCATGTGGCAAAAAAAAAGAGGTCTAAGCTCTTAAAATACCGTATTTTTTGGAATATAAGATGCACCGGAATATAAGATGCACCAAGATTTTGAAGAGGCAAATAAAAAAAAGGTTTTTGCACTCTGCAGACCTTGTAAAAACGTCCCTATTTTTTGTGGAAAAAAAAAGGGGGGGCATGCATAGCCTTTAGGAGGCTCATAGAGTGCTGTCAGAAATAGATGTCAGAAATGAGCAAAAAATGGCCTGTTTTTCGCTCAGTTTTGCCCTCCTCAGCCTCCAGGAGCACTCTGGAAGCCTCCTAAAGGCTATGCATGGCCATTTTTGCAAAGGGGGCGAGATTATGGGAGGCCAAAAATGCAGTCTTCAGTGTATAAGACACACCCAGATTTTCACCCTCTTTTTTGAGGGAAAAAGGTGTGTCTTATACTCCGAAAAATACGGTATTAATTTTATGTAAAACATATCAAACCTAGGTAATCCCTGATTTACAACCATTCATTTAGTGGCATTCAAAGTTGCAATGCCATGGAAAGTGAGTTATAACCAGTTTTTCACACTTATGGCCATTGGAGCATCATGTGGTGGTGTGATCAAAATTCGGGCTCTTGGCAACTGGCATGGATATGTAGTCCTCAGCTTATAACGGTTCATTTAGTCACCGTTTAAATTTACACCCGGAACTGAAAAAAGTGATCTGTGGCTCATGTTCATACTTATGACCTTCGCGGTATCCCCATGATCAGATGCTTGGCAACTGGTTCGTATTTACGACGGTTGCAGTGCCCTGGGGGTCATGCGATCCCCTTTGACGACCTTCTGACAATCAAAGTCAGTGGGAAAGCAAGATTCACTTAACGACTAGGTTACTCACTTAACAACTATAAGTTGTCAATGGAGAGCTACCAGTAAAGACCAGCTCCTTCAGCTGCACCTAAAAACATATCGACAGTCAGAGTAAATGAGACCGACCTGCATTTATGACCGTTGCACTGCCCAGGGGTCCTATGATCACCGTTTGTGACCTTCCCAAGTGGCTTGTAACAAGCAAAGTCAATTGGGGGTGGGGGTGGGATGGGACACAGTGGTGAGATTCAAATAATTTAACAACCGGTTCTCTGCCCTAATGACCAGCTGGGTAGGTGGGGCTCGGTGGTCATGTGACTGGGTGGGTGTGGCCAACTCAATGTCACACACGTCGATGGGTGCTTTGCCTTAG